ATTTTTCCCCGAGGTGCCTTTCGTACGTTGAAAAATTCGTAAGAAGAAGGATTCGTAAGTAGAGGTACGACTGTATCTAGACCCATTTCAAAGTACAGGATTTGGAGTTGAGACTGCCATGGTTGCCTTGGCCGACGATCTGCGTCTGAACATCAACAGGAGTAGTGTGACCTTGTAGGTGCTTCTAGACCAGGGGTCCCCAAACTACAGCCAGTGGGCCGGACCCAGCCTGCCGAGGCCTTCCTACTGGCCCACCACTGCTGCGGCTGTTGCTGCTGCCGCCACTGCTCATGCCTGCCATCAGACGCCATTTTGGCTTCCAAAATGGCGTCCAGAGTTGTGTGCATGGAAGCCAAAATGTTGCCCAGTGTCACGTGCACGTACACACTACTTGGGTGCCATTTTGGGAGCCAAAATCATGCCCACCGTCGCACGCGCATGCGTACTACTCGGGCACTATTTTGTGTTCCAATCCTCATCAAGAAGAAGATTGTAAATAGTGTGAGTCTTGTTCCAAAATAGCGTCCGGCGTCATGCGCATGTGCACGTGCCTCCAGCCCCCTGGAAGGTCTGGGGGCCAGCAACCTGGCCCCCAGATCAAAAAGTCCGTGGACCCCTGTTCTAGACCTCTCAGCAGCTTTTGATATGATAGACCATAGCATCCTCTTAGATCACCTGAGTGGGCTAGGAATCAGAGGCACTGCACTCCAGTGGTTCCATTCCTTCCTCTTGGGCAGGTCCCAGAGGGTGCTGCTCAGGGACAGTTGCTCTGGTAAAAAGGAGCTCACCTGCAGCATCCTTCCAGGCACCATTCTGTCCCCGATGCTATTCAGCATCTATATGAAGCTGCTGGGTGAGATCATTTGGAGTCATGGAGCTGGGTATTATCAGTATGCTGACAACACCCAGATCTATTTCTCCATGTCTTGATCGTCGGCCTCGACTCCCAATGGCATCTCTCCTCTCAATGAATGTCTTAAGCCAGTAATGGGTTGGATGAGGAAAAACAGATTGATAGTGAATCCAGACAAAACAGAGATGTTCACAGTAGCAGCCCCGAAACCAGGAATTGGGTTGCAACCTCCAGTCCTGGACGGGGTCACACTCTCCATAAAGGACTGTGTTCGCAGTCTGGGGGTGCTCCTTGAATCATTGCTCCTGATGACAAATCAGGTAAATGCAACAGTCAGGAGTGCCTGTTGTCAGCTCCAGCTGATACGCCAGCTGCGCCCTTTCCTGGAAATAAGGGATCTTGAAACTGTGGTGCACGTGCTGGTAATCCCCCTTCTGAATTTCTGTAATACGCTCTACATGGGGCTACTCTCATGCTTGGTCCAAAAACTTCAGTTAGTACAAAACATTGCAGCCAGAGTGGTCTCAGGAACATCTAGGAGGGATCACATAACTCCGGTATTAAAGTCCCTCCACTGGCTGCCTAGTAGTTTCCGGGTTCAGTATAAGGTGTTGGTTATTACCTTTAAAGCCCTAAATGGCTTGGATCCAACCTATCTTCAGGACCACCTCCTTCCATATAATCCTCCTCGTGCACTCCGGTCCTCTGGGAGGAACTTGCTCCAGCCATCAAAATCTAGGCTGTCTGCAACCTCCCACAGGGCATTCTCGGTAATCTCTCCCAGATTATGGAATGGCCTGCCAGATGAGATCTGTCAGATTACAATGCTAAACAGCTTCAAAAAGGCTGTTAAGATGGGTCTCTTCTGGCAGGCCTTTCCAGAATAAACTTCCCAGCCTTGGGAACTCCCTTTTTCCACCCTCTCCCATCCTGGATGCTGCTTTATTATTGTCCATGACCTCGTTTTTATTGTATGTCATTTTAATTAAGATGTTTTAATAGCTTTTGGTTTAATACTTTTTTAAGGGGTGGGTGGGTTTTGGGCCTCTTGTGTATTTCTATTGTATGTAATTTTAATTGTTGTTAGCTTCCCCGATTATTCACAGAGGGGTGGGGTACAGATACATTTAATAATAATAATAATAATAATAATAATAATAATAATAATAATAATAATAATAATAATAATAAATTGTTTGGAAGGAGTTTGTGATTGCATTCCTCTGAGGATGAGAAAGTGTGACTTCCCCAAGGTCACCTAGTGGGCTTCCATGGCTGAGCTACTAGGCCTAAAAATTAGATTTAGGTCTTAGGCTGTAAACTTATTCATACACAGGAGTAAATTCCACCCAGTTCACTGCAAATTAAACTAACATAGGATTCTGCTGTGAATTTCCCTACTCATGTAAATATAAGAGTTCTAATAGACCACAAGTTGAACATGAGTCGACAGAGGTAAAATTCAAAGATATAGCCATGTTAGTCTGTTGACTCAGTATGTAGACAGATCTTGTAGCACCTTTGAGGGCCTTTGCAGACTGCTAGAAATAGTGCAAATTGAGTTCACTTTAACTGCCCTGGCTCATTGCTAGGGAATCATGGGAACTGTATTTTTTTTTCTGAGACGTTGAACCGTCTCTGTCATAGAGCTCTGGTGCCACAATAAACTACAGTTCCCATGATTCCCTTGCACTAAGTGCACTATTTCTGGCAGTCTGAAACAAAGAAGTTGGCAGCATGAGCTTTCATAGACTAAAGTCTTCTTCCTCAGTTGCATAACATCTGAGGAAGTAGACTTTAGTTATGTATCTGAAGAAGTTATGCATTTGAAGAAGTAGACCTTAGTTTACGAAAGCTCATAACTTCTTTCTTTCAGTTAGTCTCAAAGGTGCTACAAGAGTTCTCAATATAATGAGTCACCAGTGTGATGCAACAGCAAAAAGTCCAATGCAATTCTAGGCTACAACAATAGAGGTACACTGTCTATAGTGGATAGAGATTAGATTGGATGGCTCTTGCTATTTTTTACAACTCTAGAATTCTGTGATTCTATTCTTTGATTCTAAATCAGTGAAGGTGCTTTTTAAACTATTTATGGTTTATGAATGTAGTCTGATAGTAGATTGAGCTCAGCAGTTTATTTAACAACACATAGCAGGATGGACATTGGTTTGGTCACCCTGGGTTCCACCCAAACAAGCAATTAAACCAACTTCATATAGAATTCATGCAACAAAATTGCTGTAGCAGCAATTGAGTAACCTACAAAAAAACACCCCCACCAATAAGCAGAAGGTACTATTTCCTAACTATGCACACTTGCTTTTTTTTTTTTTTTTGTATCTTATATCATGATTCTAATTGTTACCATATTAGAGGAATATATCGAGGTATTTTGAAACAAGACTCAAAATGCTTTCCACATATTTAACCTAATTTAAAATCACTCGGAACTTCAACATTTTTTTATGTCTAAGTAATATAGCTGTACTGCATTTAAGCCTTATGGCCACTTTCTTCATTTCCCCCTTTCACAATGTGTATCATGTTGCAGTCCTACAGTGTATTTCACAAATTTAAAAACAAAAGCTTGATACAGAAGCTCTTAGCAGAAACATTTTTTTAAATGTCATGTGTTGCAGAGGGAGAAGAATTATTGCATTCTAAATCAAGGGGATGAATACAGTTCAAGAGCTCTAAC